TATTATATATATATAATATATATACAGATATCTATTTTTTCCCCCGGTTCCTACAACAGGCTTAGAAATGGAGCACTAATTGGAATGAGGTCCTTTTCAAGGGCCCAAGAAGCCTTGCTGTAAATCCCAATGCCGCCCCAACTACTGTGTCCTGCTTCATGTCAGTTTCCCATCTGTAAAGTCCTTCAGGGGCCTTTCCAGCAGGATGAGTCCTCACCTCACCAAGGGTGGGATGGGGATTCGAGTCCTGGGGATTTTCCTGCTCTCCCCAGTGCTCGATCCTACGGCCCGGGGAGGTTAGGCTGGAAGGGGAGGCTGGCTCTGAACTCAGGTGTCTGACTCAGGGCAAGGGTAGGCGTGGGCTGTGGCTCACAGCCAGAGTCCCTTCCCTGGCCCAGCTTGGGGACCTGGGAAGGAGGAGGTAGCTCTGGACACCAAGGTTCTTCCCACTATGGGGGAGTGAGTGTTTTACGGGGAGACCTGGCCCCCAGATTAAAGAATTAGGAGCCCCAGTGGGTGTGTCTGCGAATGTGTTTCTCGAGCATGGGTCCTGGGACCTAGCCCCCTGCCCATGTTGCCATCTACCTAAGTACTCTACAGGCTGGGAGCCAGCTGCAGAGGCAGCCAGGGACAGGGAGGAGGATGTGTTCCCAGCCTGTATTCTGGACCGAGGGCAGCCACCATCACTGGCACTCAGCCTTCACAAGTGCTGCATCAACCCAGGTGCCCCCTCCAGCTTCTCCATCTCCCTTTATCCTTCAGAATCCCCACCTAATAACCGGATGGGATTAATTAGCTGGGTTTCCTTTCAGCTCAGGTGTCTGGGGTAGGAAGGGACGGGGGCGGGGACCATGGAAACGCAGGGTTGGGAAAGGATGTTAAGTTGGAAGTGAAGGGGCAGGGAGGGGGTTTTGTTTGGAAGGAGGGTGGGAGCAGGGCAGCCCAGCCTGGTTTTCCACTGAGGAGGGCAGGGCCTGGGCCACTCATAAAGGTCAGTGAGGGGATTAAGAGCCTCCATGTCTAATCCGACAGCTTAACCAGGTCCTGGCCTCGAATCCGTCCCCACCTGCCCAGCCCAGGGACAGCAAATGAGGACAAGGCCCAGGCACCACTTCAACCTCCATGATGGCTTTCCTATTTACCGGGGTGCCTGGCTTCCCCATTTCACCCAGGCCCTTGACCCCATTCCAAGTAATGGGACCCAGAGGCTGGGGCAGGGGAAGTGGCCTTAGAGGAGGAAGGATTCTCAGAGAAGGGAGGAGTTTAAGAAGGGCAAGGGTGGCTGGGCATGGTGGTTCATGCCTGTAATCCCAGCACTTTGGGAGGCTGAGGCTGGTGGATCACCTGAGTTCAGGAGTTCGAGACCAGCCTGGCCAACACGGCAAAACCCTGACTCTACTAAAAATACAACAATTAGCCAGGCATCGTGGTGGGTGCCTGTAATCCCAGCTACTTGGTCTAGCCCTACAGGGTCCTTTGAGCCCCTCTGCTGGTGTGGAGAGGAGAAACTGTAGACATAAAAGACACAAGACACAGAGATAGAAAAAAGAGAGTTTTGGCCCTGGGGTCCACTGCCAACCAAAGCGTGGAGTCCAGCAGTGGCCCCGAGTGTCCGCACACTCTGACTTTTATTGAGTATAAAGCTGGGGGCAGAGTAGGTAGGGCGTGGCATTGGTGGTCAGTGACAGGGTCAAGAACATCACGTGTCATATAGGTGGGGACCCAAGACTTTCTAGTAGCCGAGATGAGGTAAGGAGCATAATGCGTCAGCACTTTTCCATAGTTGTCAAGAAAGAACAAAGACATAAAGATTTATATTACCTTTACTGATTATCTCTTCTAAGAAAAAAGGAACCAGGTGCAGAAACAGAACATGAGAGTGGACATGGAACATGACTGCTGAAGCACAGCATCACAAAGAGACAGTTAAGTCCCTGGATGTCTGTGGGCCTACCTGACAGCCGCCAGGCCTACCGCAAGAGCTTGGAGGAGTGGAGTTTTCTCCTACCTCCCCGGGAGAAGGAGACATCTCTGACATTTCTTTCTGCAGCTTGCTAAACAGCGGGCGCTTTCCCAGCGCTGGTGCTGCTGCAGAGCCAAGGCACCCTCCAGCAGCCCTTCCACGGGTGTGACAGACGGCTTAAAGTGTCTTGCCTTAGGGTCATTTCTTTCACAATGTCACCCCAGGTTCACACTTTGCGACCTGAGAGTCATTAGTAAAAGAACTAAGATCACCTATGAATAACTAAGACCACCTGTGAATAACTACTGTGGTTATATCTCTGGTTATTTTCTTCTTTTCTTCTATGGGAATAGGCTGAGGCTTCGGACTCCTGCCTTGGCACTTATCGGGTCTCCCCTCCAAACCTGGGAGGATGAGGCAGGAGAATCCCTTGAACCTGGCGGGTTGAGGTTGCAGTAAGCCGAGATTGTGCCACTTAACTCCAGCCTGGGCAACAAGAGTGAAACTCCATACCCCCCCCCAAAAAAAAGGGGGGGGGCAAGGGTATGAGAGGATGAGGGGGACGGTGAAGTAAGGGAAGCCAGAGAGAAAGAAAAGGCCTTCTGAGATGGGAGAAGGAATCAGAGAGGTGAGAGGATGCTTGTGGAAGGGAGGAGTATTAGAAGGATGATACTAAGCTAAGAGGAGGAGTTTGGGGGAATGAGGGAGGAGTCTGAGCAGCAGAAGGCGCCAGGAAGGCCAAGCCTGTGCTTTCACCAAATTTCACCTTCCCCTGTTCTATTCTCCGTGACACCAAATAGCATAGCATTTAGAAAAAGTAAATCTTGGGTGGACGCAGTGGCTCACACCTGTAATCCCAGCACTTTGGGAGGTCGAGGTGGGCGGATCACAAGGTCAGGAGTTCAAGATCAGCCTGACCCATACGGTGAAACTCCGTCTCTATAAAAAAAAAAAAGAAAATTAGCCAGGCGTGGTGCTGTGTGCCTGTAGTGCCAGCTCGGGAGGCTGAGGCAGGAGAATCGCTTGAACCCGGGAGGCAGAGGTCGCAGTGAGCCGAGATCGCGCCACTGCCTGCGTGACAGAGCAGGATTCCAAAAAAAAAACAAGAGAATAAATCTTTCGTTTCACCACCCCATGACTCTGAAGAGGCTGAGGGGGATGGGGATGGCATAGATGATGGTAAGGAGTTTGAAGATTAGGAGGGACTGAGAGGAGAGGAAAGTACCCGGAGAAGAAATGCAAAAGAGGCCGAAAGCGGCTCCCCGTTGCATGGCAACCTCAGCGGCCAGAAGCCAGCATGGGCTGCTAGGAGGTGTGGCTTACAAAAACAAGCCACAGTTGTAGCCCCGCCCCCTGGCAACAAGACTAACAAAGTACCACCCCTTAGTAACGTATTACTGGAGGCGGGGTTCGGTTGACCTAGTCTCCCAGTGTCCAAGGCCTTTGAGCAGGCGCCGTCATGTCTGTTCCGCGTAGCTCCGCCTCCACGCAACACTTTTCCGAGGCTTCTCATTGGAGAGCAAGCCTGTCAAAGGCTGTCTGTTGTTTCAGAGGCGGGGCCTGCTGCCCTGCCTGCAATCC